TCTTCAGGTGACACCTGGAGGTTGGTAACCCTACCCACAAGGGAGATCCATTGGGGTAGTCATAGAATCATGGAATGTTAAAGTTGGAAGGGACCTTGCAGGTCATCTAGTCCAACCCCCTGCACTCTGCAGGAGCATAGCCGAAAGACAGCCCTACGACATACCCGAAGGATGGTCGTCCAGCCTCCGCTTGAAAACGTCCAGCGAAGGAGCACCCACCACCTCCTGAGGTAGACTGTTCCACTGCTCAACCACTCTCACAGTTAGGAAGTTTCTCCTGATATTTAGCCAGTATCGACTCCCTCGTAATTTCCACCCGTTAGATCTAGTCTTGCAATCCGGAGCCAGAGAGAATAGATCTGCTCCATCTTCTACATGACAGCCCTTCCTGCATTATGCAGGGGGTTAGAATCATATAGAATCATATGGAATGTTAGAGTTGGAAGTATAGAATCATAGAATGTTAGAGTTGGAAGGGACCTTGCAGGTCATCTAGTCCAACCCCCTGCACTCTGCAGGAGCATAGCTGAAAGATAGCCCTACATACCTACAACATACCCGAAAGATGGTCGTCCAGCCTCCGCTTGAAAACGTCCAGCAAAGGAGCATCCACCACCTCCCGAGGCAGACTGTTCCACTGCTCGACCACTCTTACAGTCAGGAAGTCTCTCCTGATACTGAGCCGGTATCGACTCCCTTATAATTTTCACCCATTAGATCTAGTCTTGCAATCCGGAGCAAGAGAGAATAGATCTGCTCCATCTTCTACATGACAGCCCTTCAGATATCTGAAGACGGCCATCATGTCCCCTCTAAGCCTTTTCTTTCCCAGGCTAAACATACCCAATACCCTTTCCTCGGATTCCAACCCTCTCATCATCCTGGTTGCCCTCCTCTGGACACGCTCGAGCTGGTCAAGTTAGTCAAGTTAGGCTGCTGCATCCCAAATAATTTAGCATTCTGCAAAGACAAATGCATCCGTTGCAGCAGGAGCTTTTGTGAAGCAGGTTTCTTCTTGGTCAGAGGAAGAGGCGGGCTCTTCCCCGCGAATGCTGCCAACGCTCCCTCTAAGCTGTGGAGTCTTGTGAGCAAAAATCCTACTTGGTGAGCGACTGGGCATGAAAGTTGTCGAGCAATGTTCCCTCTAAGCCGAGTTAGTGTGAGCGAGCTCACAGTTTTTTAGCCTCCAGCTCACACGTTTTCGTCTTAGCTCAGGACGATGGCTCCAGAGCAAACTTTTATGGAGTAGCCAAATCGCTCACTCACAACTTTAATGCCAGTAACTCACAAAGTAGAAGTTTTGCTCACAAGTCTATACAGCTTAGAGGGAGCATTGGTTGTGAGCGAGCGACTGGGCTGCTGCATCAGCTCATTTGCTCCGGAGCCCTCCTTTCTGAGCGAAGGCAGAGACGCGTGAGCCGGAGGCTCAAAAACGGTGAGCTAGCTCACACTGACTCAGCTTAGAGGGAACACTGGCTTCAACCATGACACACGTGTTCATCTTTAAGGCGGTAATCAAGGGAAGCTTGTGCATGGAAGCAGACCAGAATTTTCTGGCCCGCAGATGTGCGGAGGGACGGGACCTCTCCCAGCGGTTGCCAGCCTCCAGGTGGGGCCTGGAGTACTCCTGGAATTGCAACTGATCCCCCAGATTGCAGAGATCAGTTCCTTTGGAGAAAATGAATGCTTTGGAGGGTGGACTCTACGGCATCATACCTAAGGTTGCCGGATCTCCCCTGGCCACTGGCAGGGGGTGAGGGAGAAGGGGTGCCTGCTCCTGGTTTGGAAACTCCTAGGGATTTATCAACAGTGTAATAAAAAGTAGAGACATCACCCTGCCAACAAAAGTCCGCATGGTCAAAGCAATGGTATTCCCAGTAGTCATGTATGGCTGTGAGAGTTGGACTATAAGGAAGGCCGAGCGCCGAAGAATAGATTCTTTTGAACTATGGTGCTGGAGAAGACTCTTGAGAGTCCCTTGGACTGCAAGGAGAT